ACATACAAAGGAATATACTTACCCAGCAGAAAGACAAACATATTGGTTTCAAGAGTATCCTCCTCGTCTAATCAGTACGTGGAGTTTGAGAATTCCTTCTTTCGTATCCACCTTAGGTACATTCCATAGCATCCATTTTCCGGAAGTATAAGTATAGAAATCAATCTGCACGTCTCCCCTGTTAATCAGTTTTCTTGTCCATGCTCCGTGGCTAGTGGTGTTCCATCTTTGTTGCAAGTTAATGTACAACGTTTCCCTTTTATCATGTTTAGCTCTGTGCCACTCCTCTAGCGGGTGCATCTTTCCTCAGCCAGCAAATCAATCGACGGAACTCCCACCACGAGTAGCGCCTTCCGCTGGCACCTGGGTAAGAGTTGCCTATATTTCTTCTTTTTCAATGCCCTTTCATATATTGGAGCCCCATACAACATGACTGACTTTGACATCCCAGCCTGAAACCATCGGTTATAACTACTCGGCCCACCATCAGCAGGCACCACTCCCATTTGCTGTTTCCACGGTGCTCTTTATGTGCTCAGCCATCTATACGAGTATACCTTTTTCCAGTCAAACACCCACGAATTTAATCATACGCTTCTCAGCACTGCTAACATTTACTGAAAGTGTGGTCAACTTTTGCCTATCAACTCAGTTTTTATAGGGGCCAGCTTGAAGCCATCATAATCCATCCATATGCTGATCTGGGTTATTCCGTATGCCAGGATAATTTTAATGTATCATGTTGCGTGTTACCACCAGTGCCAGGTCGACAGCTTACCATATCAACTTGATTCCTGACAGCATATTAGGTTTTAAGACCACATCGTAGAACATGTTCCACAGAAGGAACCCCAGAATGGATTCCTGTGGATTCCCATTGTAATATTCATAATCTCTCTCGTCTCCTCGACTATCAGTAATTATTTCGTGGTTTCTGTCTATTTATGTCCAAGTTTGTGCGTATAAATATATTGTCCTTAATAGAAATTATATTAGTATATACCGGATGTTTCAAATTCGAACCTCGCCATTGTGATCTTGGGAACTGTAAGAGATACAAAGTCGCTTGAATGAAGACAAAGTTGCGTCTTTAGGTAACTAAGAAAATGCAGCTAAGAAAATTTCTAAATTCAAAGTACTTTAGGAGAGAGACGCGGAAAAACGAATGTTCCCAAAACCGTTTTAATTTTTTTCTGACTTTATTTGTAGTGGTGTTTCAAAATAAATAGCACATTAACATTGCCACTTTTTCTCCTGTGCAAGATGGCATAACTAGAATTTCAATATGTCGTTTCGTCTCTCATCATATTGGATTTTTGCTCAGGTGAATAGAGTTTTTAATTCTGATTCCAAATATGTATAATACGTTATACACAACCCTTAATCATTTCAGTCATCCATCATGAACAGCACAAATTGTGGTATTTCCTGGACCAATATTTTTAATACCTCGATATTCGATCCAGACCTGGTGCCTTCCTGTCTTCAGCTTTGACACAGCTTTATTCAGTTCAGGCATCGTGAATTCAAGCACGTTCAGGGAATTGTGAAATGTCTATTTAGATAATCCGCGTTTCGGTAATATTATCTTCTGCAATCTCTAATTATTGTTGTTCAGAAGTTAAGAAAGGCCTATCCTTGAACCTTTTCGTAACAATTTTTGTACGCCTGTCCCCAAAGATCATTCTCAAGGTCTTTCAAGACATCCTTTTTGTTACAGCTACTTATTTTCGCTTATTAGTTTCCGTTTTATCATTACCCATTCTTTCCTTTTATCTTTTACTGTTGCGTTCCATAATTATTGAATCATTCACAGCAAATATGTTATTACATCATCAATGACTTCTAGTTGTTGAACTGTGTCTTTTTGTTCGTCCAGCTTTATGCTCCACAGGGCCAATGGCAAGTTGTCAGGAAACGATTTTAGCTTAGTCTCGTTTATTTTCCACTTTTTTAATTTGTATGTTGATTGTTTAGTTTCAATTTTGGAGGGTGTTACGTCAAAATAACGTGTATATGGTCGTTCATGTTTTGATCATCTAACACCTCCAGTTTTTGATCTGTCCTGTCATATTCTCACTATATACTTGTATAGTTATAACAAGATGCGTTGTCTGGCTTCCTTTAATAACAGTGGGTTCGTCGCCTATATTTTCAGTAACCATATGGTGGACCTAGAATTGATATATGTATAAGTAAATGCCCAACGCTTCCATCTATAAAAGTCACTAGTTCTTTCAGAGTTTCCTGGTAAAGGTAAAGTGATATATTTGATGAAACATATACTGAACATCGGTTAAGCTTTTCTATTAAGTAGTATCCTTTTTTTTTCGATTGTACGCTCTTGATCGTTGTTTCTGCTGTTTGGTTGCATGTCTTTATGCTACTCCCTGATCTCCGTCTGTTTTCCATAGGGCGTTTTCCATCTTATTTTTGTTTGATTCGGTTACCAATGCTACGACCACTGAGTTTTCTTTGAGGAATTGTTCAACCAAATCGTGTGCGGCTTTGAACCTACTTAGATTTACCTTGATTATCTTCATGATGTTAATTAAAGACTGACATTTCTTTCCGCACGCATCTCTCTCTCTTCTGCTTGCCAGAACCTAGAATCCATCTTCGTCAGATTTGATGGTAATCTGGTATTGTCAATTGCAGTGTTGTGCCGTCCTCTTTTGTTTTTTTCGTCAGTTTTGTCGAGTGTTTCTTTTCCGTTGATTATTGGTTAGGCATGGTTACCTGACTTTTACCTACCAGTATTTAGTTCAGGCAATACTGTCTCCACCATGTACAAATAGTTGGCACTTATAACATCTCGCTGGAGAGACTTTCTCGGTTATCATACATCTGCTTCAACCAATTTTGGTTGAGGAGTACGCGCACTGACCTTTCAGTAATCACCACCAGTGCAAAGCTAGGGTCTTTTGTATTTTTAGGTCTTTGGGCTCAAAGACATGCAAGCCGGTAATAGTTTTCTGCTGCTAAGCACCTTCCACTGCCAGCAAACCTCTTCTTTGTTTATTGTTTTTCCATTTCCAGTATTATCATAGCTATTGTCTTCTCGGGTGCTTCGGCAACATTTTCTGCACCTAAAACGCTTTCGACTTACGCGAGGAGCTTTTAAACGGCACGCTCCTTCTTTTTAGCTATTTTAAGTTCAATTTCACCCTTATTTGTTTGCTTTAGATTGAGCACCACACACCTACTTTCTGACTATTTAACTGCTGCCTCAATCTGCTGTATTAGCATACGAGTTTTCGCTCTTGTCAGTTTTAATAAATAGAAGAACGACCACGACTTTTGCCGCTGGTAGTCTTCCTATGTACATGGTGAGTTCTTAGTATAGTCTCATTCATAAGTACGTGGTGACCCATACATACATGTTTTGAATGGAAAACCAGACATTCTATTGCATACCCTTCGATTCCCTTTTTCACCAGATTTTTTTAATATAAGGTGGGTTCTACGACTAGTTTTTTCATTAAAACTAACCTTTTTGAAGATTAGATGTCAAGTAGGTTGACTCTGCACTTTCCACGCAACGCTGTCACTAGTTCATAAAAGATTATGTCTCTGGTCCAAATAATTAAAATTTATATATTTAGGACCGTATCGCCAGTCGTTCCTATAATTATAGGACGCCTTTATGGCCGCCTTGATTTTCATAGTCTTTTCTTTCCTTCAGAAAGACGGGGGTGTTTCTAGATTTCTACTGTTCCGTGTCAGCATCAGCGCTCTCCTATCATGTTATGTTTTCTTGTAAGAACGACTGACGATACGAACCTTAGCATGATTTTGGGTACAATTTTGGGGATCATTAAGATTTGGCACCACTTGACGAGCTTTGCTCTCCAAGCTCTCCAAAAAAGTTTTGGAGGCAGGTACATATTCACCAAAAATTTGTCTTTTGCCGATTAATGCACCCACAACTTCCCTCTGAAAAAAATTCTGCGGAAGCCTATAAACGTTGCTATGACCAACTTTGCGTGGGTGACGGTCCACAGCAGTACGGCAGCTAGTACCAACTCCGAAACACCCATCGATTTGACCGCGACCCCGGTGTTATATCCAGAGACGCGTCTGTTGAAAATATTTCATATTAAGTTTTAAGAGGGAATTTACGGGGAAATCTATGATGTGTGAAATTTGTCTAATAGAAACGTAGTATTACCGTGGTTGGAAGCGTATAATATATATATATATATATATATATATTAATATCAAAAAGCGAAATATACCTTTCCCCACTTCTACAACCTCATGCCCCCAATTTTTAATCCTTACAAAAGTTTACCTGAAAATAATGAGCCTCTGAAACGTCAAAAAACGAAGCTTAAGCGATCGTTAGAATTTGTGTATTTTTGTTATAAATGAAATGTAACCACCTTATGCAATAAAATCATACGAACCCCCATAAATCTGATATCAAAAAAAAATATTTTAAAAGGGAGAATCAAAGTATGTGAAAATTTACAACGTGTAGTAAGCCCATACTAAAAACTGGCCACGTATAATGCATATTTGCATAGACATCTATCAAGGTACTCTAAGTTCGCAAAGATCTCAGATTCTGGAATCCTATCGGGTTGATTATTAGTTCAGAAACAGAGTGTATATTTGCTACTTCAAAAGCTTGCTCTAACATCTGAGCTGTCCTGGGTTCACTGTCTTCGTGTATCTTGATAGCATATATACTATTTTTGTCCTCTGAAGCTCTAAATTAAGATTGTGAGTTTCTATGGTTGAGCCAACTCTGTTACTTGTCTTAACGACATACATATATAAATTGGGTCCCTTCCTGCTTTATAGCTTCCTCTAATTGCATTTCTCTAGCTGCAAGAACTGAGGCACTTCGTCTACCTTCTTCGACGTCATTTACCAGTACAATGCTACAGGTGACTTTTAAGGAGACATTGTTAGTTTTTGGTCATTAGGATGCATGGCTCTGGTAATTCTGCATCCCTGTCAGGTCCCATGATTTTATCACGGCTTTTGTGTACTTCTTTGAGTCCTGCATTTATTTTCTGAACTTGCAGGGTATCCTCAAAGTCTTTGGAATATGTTTGAGTTCCAGTCACTCGGTACTCCTCAGTGATGACTCTATCATGGATGTCCAGTTCTGTTTCAGCCTGCACGTCAACATCAAAGGTGAGAATTTCGGGCTTTTCCCACTTTACAGATTCGAACCAGGTCTTTAGGGAGTTCTTGTTCAAGCAGGCACCAAGGCGTTGGAGATCGACATTCATCTCCTTGGTGTCCTACCTTATATTCTGGCTTGTGTTAACGATATGCTAATTTGTACTTGAATGCTTCTAAATTATCCATGAGGTCATATACAATTGGATTACGCATTATTTTCAGAATCACCACTTCAATCTCTTATGTAGATCGTGCTACACCTTTTCTTGCCTGTTTATGTGGCATGCATTACTGGGCTGCCAAACTCGGTCCTACATTCCGTGTACGATTGAGAACGCGTTAGCCTGAAAAGAGATGGTATTGTTCCCTTCTTTAGATGACCTTCCGCACCTGCAATATTGTGGATCGAGTTGTTTGTTTTTCCTGTTCCCATTTACTTGATTGATTCATACGGCAAGAGGCAGGCTGATATAGCTAGGAGTGGGTATACCCTCGAATGCAACTACAATCCTACCTTAGCTCCATGAGGCCCAGCCATCGCTTAACCGGTCTCGGAATAGACGTACTGACTGGCACTCGTCAAGAGCAGCGCAGGATTCGGATTCCGGCATCCATGGCACACTTCTTGATCAGGGCCCGAAGGGCAACCACACATGGGGAGAGCAAGCTTTTTGTCCTATTCATAGCCAGGTCATTATCGGGCGACTACTGACGTCTTCGGGTGAGCATTTCTGGAGCGGCTGCCTTCGCCACAGCTCGAGTAACTCGCCACCGAGGTTGGTTACTCAACTTTGATCAATCATAACGGGGAGACCCCACATAGTCGCCTCCTACCACATGCAGGGGAATCCCTGGGACTATTATAGTTTGTGGCCCCAGTACCCAATACCTGCAATGTGTCTATAGTATCTGTCTCTATACAGGATCGCCGCGTGGATTACCTACACTTTTCCCATTTGAGCAAAAATTTGTCAAATATTGTAACGGGCAAAGTTACGATTGGGCTTTCTTTTCTAGATAATCCCATATCTGCTGCTGACATTAATATCATCGTCGATATGTGAAATCGAGGTGGAAAATCCGGACCCTTGCAGTAACGTAGTGAACTTTGAAGAATGTCTCAACTTTGGCACCAGATTGAGAAGGCAAGAGGGTTATGTATATGAAAAGCCTAAAGTACCATTCGATGAGGGAACGAAGCCTCCAAGACCTCCCAGTATCCCACAGCCTACTCAGACACCTTACAGGTTAGTGAAATCATAGAAGATAGCCGTTCTTGAATTCTACATTATACATCAGTGGCCACTGAAAAATATTTTACGTACTTTGACGTTATTTCTTTAGCTTTATACCATGCGAAGAAAATATGTTGAATAAATAGCTCAGCATTTCTTCGCTAACGGTAGTTTTTAAAATGATAGACCTATAAATCTTGAAAATTGTATTAATGGTGAAAGCTTTGAAAGTCGGAATGAATGTTCATGTTGAGTTAAGTATTTAAGTAATTTTTCAAGTTAGATGGTTTTATCAATCCAAGAATATTACTATTTTTGGTTTTTATATCATAATCAAATTTTCTAGTATACTTTCTAACCTCCGACAGAGGTATTTTGATCGATGCTCACGTGATTTCATTGAAGTCAGTTGTCAATCAGAGATACTCTAAAACTAGTATCCTGCTATGGATGTAGGGGTCGGTAGTACCGCGTTTGGTAAGCTACTCGTAGATGGCATAGGTGTTCCCTCTTCGCATGTAGTAACAAAAATTGTGACAAAATGAAGTTTGAACGATTTCTTTTTTGTCATTAGATCCACCGCCATATGACTAATTTTCAGAAACTTATTGTAGCAGCAACTATATGTGAAAATTTCATCAAAATCAGAGCGGTACTTTCCAAATTATGTAGGCACACAGACAGATAGACCGAAAGAAATGGTTTTCGTGATGAAAATCATATCTCATTTATGAAATTTTACGCGATTAGAATGCTTTCTCGCCTATTGACAACAGTTTTTGTGAATCTGCAGTTCCTAAACAGTGTTAATTTTTTGCACAGTACAAAGTACAAAGTTAATCAAGGGAAGCAAATCTTAACTGTATCTTTGATTTTTTGCAGGCCACCTTCAACAGCACAGGCGCCGCAATCCTATAAATCAGTGCCTTCGCAACCAGTGACACCAGGACACTCCTATCCTACAGCAAAACCTACGGGGTATGAGTATCCGAGTCCCAAAGTTCCATTCACTTTGCCACCTGCTAGCACTTCAACGACTTATAGACCTCCTCCGTTTACGCCAGCACCGTATCGCCCCCCGCCATCTATTCCAGCGCCGCTGTCTTCAACGCCTGCACCATATAGACCTCCTTCAAGCACTCCAGCACCGTATAGACCTTCTCCAACACAACCACCCTCAATATCAACTGGTTATGTATACTCTACTCCAATCATCCCATTTACGGTACCAACATCACCTCCTAGACCAACGTCACCTCCTTATAAAACCCCTCCAAGCACTCCAAGCACTCCAGCACCTTACAGACCACGTCCAAGCACGCCCGCGCCTTATCGACCACCTCCAAGCTCGCCAGCACCTTATAGACCTACGCCATCTACACCAGCACCATATAGACCTCCTCTAACACAACCTCCATCAAGACCAACTGGATACGAATACTCTACTCCAAGTATACCATTCACAGTGCCAAGATCACCTCCTAGACCAACTTCGCCTCCTTATAGACCTCCTTCAACTACTCCACCACCTTACAGAGTGCCATCTACTCCAGCGCCGTATAGACCTCCTCCAAACACTCCAGCACCTTATAGACCTCCACCATCAATTTCAGTACCGTATAGACCTCCTCCAACACAACCTTCATCAAGACCAACTGGTTACGAATACTCTACTCCGAGTATACCATTTACGGTACCAACGTTGCCGCCTAGGCCAACATATAAGTCCCCTCCAAGCACTCCAGCCTCGACGCAGCCTCCATCGAAACCAACTGGGTATGTGTATCCTACTCCAAGCATACCATTCCCAATTCCAACTGCACCTCCTGCTAGACCTACTTCACCTCCCTACAGGCCACCGCCTAGCACTCCGGCACCTTACATACCACCACCAGCTACTTCACCACCATTAAAACCTCCACCAACTACCCTAGCACCATATAGACCTCCGTCTACGCCAGCACCATATCGACCACCTCCTACACAAACTCCATCAAGACCAACTGGGTATGTATATTCTACTCCAAGTATACCATTCCCAATTCCAACTGCACCTCCTGCTAGGCCTACTTCACCTCCCTACAGGCCACCTCCTAGCACTCCGGCACCTTACAAAGTACCTCCACCTACTTCACCACCATACAAACCTCCACCCTCTACCCTAGCACCATATAGACCTCCTTCTACGCCAGCACCATATCGTCCACCTCTTACACAACCTCCATCAAGACCAACTGGGTATGTGTATTCTACTCCAAGCATACCATTCCCATTTCCAACTGCACCTCCGGCTAGACCAACTTCACCTCCTCATAGGCCATCTCCTAGCAGTCCGGCACCTTATAGACCTCCACCGTCTACTCCAACGCCCTACAGACCTACTCTACCACCATATAGTCCTCCGTCTACGCCACCACCATATCGACCACCTTCTACACAAACTCCATCAAGACCAACTGGGTATGTATATTCTACTCCAAGTATACCATTTCCAATTCCAACTGCACCTCCTGCTAGACCTACTTCACCACCATACAGACCTCCACCATCTACCCCAGCACCATATAGACCACCGTCTACGCCAGCGTCATATCGACCACCTCCTACACAAACTCCATCAAGACCAACTGGGTATGTATATTCTACCCCAACCTTACCATTTCCAGTTCCAGCTGCACCTCCTGCTAGACCTACTTCACCCCCTTACAGGCCACTTCCTAGCACTCCTGCACCTTACAGACCACCACCACCTACTTCACCACCATACAGACCTCCACCATCTACCCCAGCACCATATAGACCACCGCCTACGCCAGCACCATATCGTCCACCTCTTACACAACCTCCATCAAGACCAACTGGGTATGTGTATTCTGCTCCAAGTATACCATTCCCAGTTCCAACTTCACCTCCACCTAGACCCACCTTACCACCGTACAGACCACCACCAAATACTCCGGCACCCTATAGGCCTCCTCCATCTCTCCCAGCACCGTACCGACCGCCTCCAACACAACCTCCATCAAGACCACCTAGTTACAACTACCCCAGTCCTAGTGGTCCATTCACTCTACTCACTCAGCCTCCCTTCAGACCCACTTCACCTCCTTACCGTCCTCCAAACCGACCTCCGCAACCTCCATACAGACTGCCCTCCAGTAGCCCTGCTCCTTCCAGACAGCCTCCATCATATGTACCTCCTGCGACTACTCCAAGACCTATTACTAGACCTCCTCCGCCACCAACGTTCAAAAGCACAATATACATTCCCCCAGTAACCACACCTAGACCTTCAACTAGTCCTCCGGTTAGTTACTTGCCACCAGCGACAACTAAGCCTCCAGTATATGTACCACCTGTCACAAGACCTCCATCAACCTATGTACCACCGGTGACTACTAGAAGACCTCCACCTCCTCCAACACAACCGCCAGTATACAGACCACCCTCAACTTATGTTCCTCCTGCAACTACTAGAAGACCACCACCCCCTCCAACGCAACCGCCTATATACAGACCGCCCTCAACTTATGTACCTCCTGCAACTACTAGGAGACCTCCACCTCCTCGAACACAACCACCACCAGTATACAGACCACCCTCAACGTACTTACCTCCTGCAACAACCAGGAGACCTCCCCCAACACAACCGCCAGTATACATACCACCCTCAACATATGCACCTCCTGCAACTACCAGGAGACCTCCACCTCCACCGATACAACCACCAGCTTATGTACCTCCTGTGATACGACCTCCTTCAACTTATATACCTCCTGCGACTACTAGGAGACCTCCACCTTATCCAACACAACCACCAGTGTACAGACCACCCTCAACCTATGTACCTCCTGTAACTACTAAGAGACCTCCTCCATCTCAACCACCAGTATATAGACCATTCTCAACCTATGTACCTCCATCAACCACTAGAAGACCTCCATCTACTCCAACACAACCGCCAGTGTATAGACCACCCTCAACTTACGTACCTCCCGCAACGACTAGAAGACCTCCTCCGACACAACCATCAGTTTATGTACCTCCTTTGACACGACCTCCTTCGACTTACATACCTCCTTCGACTACTAGAAAACCTCCTCCTCCAACGCAACCACCACTATACACACCTCCATCAACATACGTACCTCCTGCAACTACTAGAAGACATCCACCTCCTCCAACACAACCACCAGTATATAGACCACCCTCCACTTACGTACCTCCCGCAACAAGTAGGAGGCCTCCTCCGACACAACCACCAGTTTATATACCTCCTGTTACACGACCTCCTTCGACTTACGTACCTCCCGCAACGACTAGGAGATATCCTACACAACCTCCAGTATATGTACCTCCTGTGACACGACCTGCTCCGACTTATGTACCTCCTGCAATCACTAAGAGGCCTCCTACTCCACCTACGCAACCTCCAGTATATGTGCCACCAGTAACACGACCTCCTGCAACTTACGTACCGCCTGTAACCGCGACCAGGCTTCCTGTACCTCCTTCAACACCGAAACCTACCGTCTACATACCTCCTGCCACCACTCCCCGGCCAACGATACTTCCATCAAGGCCTACAGTATATACTCCTCCATCAACAACCTATAGACCTAAAACGACTCAAGAGGATAGAAGTTACCTACCCCCAGAGCCTAGCGGATATTCCTATCCACGGCCTCAGTTTGGATTAGTATTTTAAAATTCATCAAATCTAAGGAAATGCTCCAGATTATTATTGAAAATGTCATATCCAGCTACTGATTGGGATTATTTTAATGTTGTATGCAGGAAGCTGTGTCAGATGTTAAAAAAAAGAGAACTGTCATAGCAGCCTACTTGCATCATATAAATCTGTTCATTTCAACCCAATTTAATAGAAAGACATGTTTTTCTGCACATCGTGGTGTGAAAGATAAACGTAATAAGTCTTTTAAAAGTATGAACTATCGTTAAGATATGAAGTTAATCAAACATTTTATAAAAATACAATACTGGTGTCACAAAGTATCAGGAACAAAGAGAATTGTCTCTCTTGGAGATAAAATTAATGAATTATTTAAATGTTTTCGTAAACAGATGTTAATGATTCTGATTTTATGTGTTGTAAAGTGTTTATTGCATAGTAATAAGAGTATTGTACCTTTGTAAATAAATTTATAGATAAATATTCTAATGCATATTTTATTTGAATCTGTGACGCCTATGTGACCTTTCTTATGAAAATAGTGACAGGAGACCGTGATCGGTGACCAAGTCTGAGGCCGAAACGCGTGCAGAAAATCGGTTTTTATATTGAAAAGTGAATAAATATGTTTGGTTCAGATTTGTAATAATGTCAAAATTTCTATATACAGGGTGATTCACAAGTCGTGACCAAAAATTAAAGATCATACACAGGACCGCATTTTAAGGGTAGTCTTCTATGTAACATTTTCGCTTCATTAAAAAGAATTGATGAAATTTAAAAATAAAAAACATTATTTTTAATATCTTCAAAACCGTCAAATGGAATTAACTAAAATTTGGTATGTGGATTTACCTAAGTATTGTCCACATTCAAAAGTCTTTACTTAAAATTAACGTGCACCAGTCGCGGAGATACAGTGGATTAGTTCATTCTTTACGCCTAAATAATGACTTTATTTTGAACGTACACATTTTTGAATTGTGTCAAATCTGATTAGGATCGATTCCGGATCGGTCCTAACGGTGCTTCATTTTAGGTCGAAATGAAAGATCAGGATCACCACAAATTCTGCAACAATGCATCATTGGTTCGTTTGGCAACACATCTCGTACATTCCAAGGTAAGGTTTCCACCTCCATGATCATAGATGAGCGATTTTAGTCAGTACCGACCTAGCGCTCATTGGGGAATGTCTTCCTGCTTCGCAATGCTTTTCACCTACGTACACGTAGGCAGTGATTGTATTACGCAATGGTATTTGTTACATTTTCCGATCGCTCGCTGTCGCAAAATGTAACAATAACTCAGGATATGTTGATTTTATCACCATAGGTGGAAATCAAAGATAATTCTGAGATAAATTAAAATACAGTCGCATCAAAATTGAAATAACTAATTCTAATCAAAACGTAAAAAAAATATTAAATTAAATGTTCGAACAGACCTCCTTCTTGGGTATAACAGTAACCTAACCTAGTTTAGAAGACCGTATGAACATTTTCTGGGGTAACACATCGCCAACACGGCAGATTGCACGACCTTCTGCGTCACCGCTGCTAGGCAATGTGGTGATGACCTTCGCTTTTCAGCCAGATTCTCTTTCTAACATGTGTTGATACACGCTTCTTTCTCGTACACATTGAACTCAAACCGTCAGACAAATTTGGTTTTCCCTGTATACAGGATGTTCCTTAATGATATGCGAATATTATGGTCCAAAAATTTTTCCTTACAAAAACTCGGGGTGTTGAAGTTTTAGGAAAAAATGGAAATTAATTAATATTTTCAGAACCGCGTCAGATATTTCACTGATACTTAGTACGTAGTGAAAGTTAATAAAGTTGCATATTTTCCCCGTTCAATTTAAAACAAATGATCTCTCTTGAATTGTTTTCTTTCGATGCGCCATTTTTGAGTAAAAAAATAAAAACCGTTCTAGTGTCTAACTTGCAAAATTATTATTAATTTTATTGGAAAAATTAAACACATTAAGGGTAATGAACAACAACTGACAACATAAACATAACATTAAAACCAACGAAGTAATTACAAAAAATGTTTTAATGGCCCCCTTCACTTAGTATGCATGCTTCCGCACTCCTCAAGGAATTGGGCACTCGTTCAAATATCCCTGGAGTGTTTTTTATTCTATCACAAGCTGCAACTATTCTTTCTCTTAATTCCTCTACAGTGTTAATGGGACTTGTGTACACTAGTGTCTTAAGACAGCCCCACAAAAAGAAACAGTTTGCACCATCATGCATGTACCACATATTGCTTCTTATTACCAGCGGAACATCATCAAGCAGCAAAGGCAACTGTTGAAGAAAATTGAGGTAAGTCTGTCCGTCAAGTCGTCCCGGCAAGAAGAATGGGCCAATAAAGTGGTTGCCAATAATTCCTGCATATACGTTAACCGAAAATTGGTGTTGGAAATGAGTTTCGGTTACGGCATAGGATTTTCTTCTGCCCACAAATGATTATTGTGGAAATTCTGAATGGCATTTCGAGAAAAATTAGCTTCGTCCGTGAACAGAATCATTGATTCAAATTGAGGATTTTGAGTAATTTTTTGAAGATACCACTGACAAAAGGTCACACGCCTTGGAAAATCAATGGGAAGTAATGCCTGTACTCTTAAAATATGATAAGGATATAACAAAAAATCCGCAAAAATTCTCCAAAGAATTTGATGGCAAATATTTAAGTATCTAGTGATCTTCCTCGTACTCGTTTCAAGATGTTCTTCGACTTCGTGCAGCACTGCTTCCTCAATTTCAGGTGTTCTCACACTTGGAGGTCTACGTGCAGATGTTCCTTCTCGGACAGAACCAGTTTCAACAAGACGACGTAGAATATTAGAAAAGGTTCGACTATCTGGCAAAGCACGATTGGGATATCTCTGGTGATAAATCCGTCTGGCTTGCTCACCATTACCGTCGGCAAGGCCATATACGTAATGCATTCCCGCCATTTAGTCTGCATTTGAATAATTCACCATTATAAACAAGATTGTAAAAACTAAATAATGAAGAAGGTGTCACAGCGAACAGATTTTAATAACAGAGACTTGTCAGATGTCAAAAGCCAGTGACATATTCCAGAGCAACTAGATATTTATTGCTAAATTGCATTCTTCAATCACTACATTAATTTTCTCAGACAATAGAACCGTTTTTATTTTTTTACTCAAAAATGGCGCATCGAAGGAAAACAATTCAGAAGAGATCATTTATTTTAAATTGAACGGGGAATTCAAAAATAATTTTTATTTGGCAAAAACCCATTGGCGTACCATTTTTTTCTTAAAAAACATCGAAGTCAATACCGGCACGCACGCCACTGTTAAACCTAAAAATTATTTTTGCTTTGAAAAATATGCAACTTTATTAACTTTCACTACTTACTAAGTATCAGTGAAATATCTGAAGCGGTTCTGAAAATATTAATTAATTTCCATTTTTTACCTAAAACTTTAACACCCCTAGTTCTTGTAAGGAAACATTTTTGGACCATAGTTTATAGAGTAAACTAACTAACTAATTTTTCATGTAGATTCACGCCCTTAAATATTCGCATATCATTAAGGAACACCCTGTATATGCGGCTGCAGAGATAGTACCTCACTAAGCACTGGATTCTGTTTTTCCAGATAAAAAGAAGTCTTGTATCATAATACTTTATTCAAACAAATTAATTCACTTTAATGTACACGTAAATCTATTAGAAATCCATTTTCGGCTCCGCCTCCTCTAAATCCCTGCACTTGGCGTTTTGCAATTCTCTCCTTATTTCAGGGGTCATAGCGTGGTGCGACTGCTTTTTTAAAAGTTCCAGCAGAGCGTCACGTTGTTCACTTGAAATATCTGCTTTGTATCTTTGGACGAAAGTAAGAAATGCCTGATGCCACAGCACCGGAAGTTCACGGGGATCGTTTTGGAACCTGGAAATAAGGGTATACAACAGAGTCCAGTATAAAAACAATTTTTGCTTTCGGTATAACACTTACATATCATAATGTAAGAAATAAGGGTATACAACAGGATCCAGTATAAAAACAATTTTTGGTTTCGGTGTAACACTTACATATCATAATGTAAGAAATAAGGGTATACAACAGGATCCAGTATAAAAACAATTTTTGGTTTCGGTGTAAAACTTAATGTTAGAAATTGGAACACATACTGCGACGCACCGCTGCAAATCTACATACGCCCTTATTATGAACGAGATACATATATAGTTATATCTATTACGACTATGGGACTATGGGTGAGATAAGAATTTAGATTATCGTTCGAATGAGGATAAAAACAGAAAATTGTACCGTTCTATATCACCGGGAATCGATAGTTGAGCCTTTGAACAAATAAATGTGGGCAATTCTCAATAAAAATAACGGGCTCTAAAGAAACCTTAAAAGACAGCGATCTGAATGGTGAGCCTTTACTCCCTGAACACCTAATCATACAGTACACCATCTGCTCGTAGCTGAACTTTTATTTATTGTTAAGGCTTCACAGTACTTCTTTTGTAACAATGAGGATAAATTTGACGATCCAAAGGTACAAACACACAACTCAGTAAAAGAAGGCACAAAAAAGTATTTTTATTTCCAAACCCCGACGTGATATTTAGATGTATCATGACATCCTTTACCCTTTTAACGTGACTGATGGTTCTTTAACCATAGCCATTACAAGAATTTATTTATTTCGACTTTGGAAATTAGTATTCAACTTTGACATTGAAAATCATATTATCTAGCACGATGGGGAGGTTGTACCATCTGAGCATATAGTTATTCGAAGAATACTTTATCACAATGCATTTGATCAGTGGCATAAAAAATTCCACACCCCGTACTATGGTATTGGGACATTTTAGGGCTTATGTTTACAGGACTTTTCATGTTATTTTGGAAGTTTTCTAATGCCGAAGCAGCCGTGCAGGCAGAACCTAAAAATGCTAAGGCTGCTATGAGGATCCCAAAGAAATTTTGTGAATCCGATTTTTAAACTGCCTAAGGTTAGTAGAACTGGGAAAAAACTCATCTTGTAGATTGTTCCATAACCTTGACACCCTCGGGACAAAGGAGCGGTCGTATCGGCCAGTTCTGAATGTACGAAGTTCGACACGGTTAGGATGGGAGGCCGAAGTCTGATAAGCACATCGCGCGGCGGCATCATGAAACTGAGCTCTGAGGAGCAAAGCCCGTCGGTGTAACGGTAGAAGAGAGCTAGATCGCCGACGTCCCGCCGGTGCGAAAGGGTCCCTGTTATAGAGGATTCATCGATCAGTCCGTCAGCCCTCCTCCGGACAGCATCGAGCATAGATAATGTTGTCAGGGCGACAGCATCCCAAGCGTGTGAGCAATAGTCGAGGCTAGGTCTTATCTGGGCCTTGTTTAGAGTGAGTAGGTCATGTGGAGCAAATAACTTCTTAGCCCTAAATAAATAGCCTAGCTTCTTCCCAGCAGCTGCTGCTATTGACGAGATGAGGTCGTGCCAGATAAAGTTCTCGGTGATCCGACCAGCCGAAATGAAGGGCTCTTTGGCAGAACTCGGCCATGCATCGAAACCCGATGAGCGCTAGGACGCTTTCTGTCCGTCAAGTCACTGTGATTTGGAAGCATTACATACTACAGTACAAGATTGCTGCGTCCCCATGCAGTGATAACGTCCATAGTATAGTACGGAGTGAGGAGGTCATGCGGAGAAAAGTACTTCTCAGCCCTAGCTTTTTCTCAGCAGCTGCCGCTATTGCTGAGATCTGTTCGTGACAGATCAAGTCCTCGGCGATCTGGACTTTGACCAGCCGAAATGAATAGCCCTTTGGCAGAACGCGGCCATCCATCGAAACTGGATGAGCGTTGGGACGCTTTTTGTTCGTCAAGGTACAGTACTGTGCTTTAGAATGTACAAGATTGTTGTTGAATGATAGCCTCAGATCTCTCGTCAGAGAGGAAGTCACTGCTAGTATTCTTTTTTCTAGATCACCGGCAGAGATCGGCTTGTCGCTCTGAATTCCTGTATATAGGGTGCTGTCATTAGCAAAGCTGTGGATTGGATTTACCGTGCAAGAAAATAGGTCGTTGATATGTAAGAGGAATCCGTCAATAACGAAGGATATCTTGGGGCCAGAGAGAAAGTCAGCCACCCATCTGATAAGCTTCTCTGGGAGGCCAACGGATGAAAGTTTGCATAAGAGGACAGCGTGCCACAGCTGATCGAACGCGTTCGTGATAACAAGAGCAACGACATGAGCCTCACCATAAGACTGGGACAGTTGCGTGACGTAAGCTAGGAGCTCCCCTGTAGAACGCTGGTGCCGGAAACCATACTGCCTGTCGCTAATCAAGCCGTAACGCTCGCGATTACCTTACTTATAACGTAGCCGAGCTATACGCCTGTACCATGGTCCAAATCTGCGGATTTTCCACATGTATGTTTATATACAAGAAACATTGCATTTTAACACAAATTTGAGCTATGCGCCTTGTTGGTTATAAAATCTTCACAGTTGCTAAAATAATCAAAATTTGCACATTGAATAAGCATTAATGGGATCAGAATTCCATCCAATATTTACATTCCAGGTGAAAAGACATCTGACCTGGAAAAAACGTTATTTATATGACCATTTTTGAATAGCCAAATCCCAAAATATTACAATTCGTTCATTGCAAAGGAAATGAGACACATACCTCAAAAAGTGGAAGACACAAGCGTCCACAACTCTATATGGCAGAGCATATCGTTTATCAAAAAAGATCCTGAGGAAGATAGAGTTAGACCCGACATAATCCATTTCTGCAATCTTCAAAATCGCTGCTGATGAGTGCAATACTGGTATCGAATTTCTTGCTACAACTGAACCCACTATGATAGCTTCTCGTAAGGTGCAGTTACCGCTTTCTAGAAGTGGCAAAAGGATACCTGCAGAGGGTTATAATAATTAGTTTAAGAAAAAAATCTGCAAAACGGAAACTCAAATTTACATTTTGAAAGCCTAATCTAGGAAAAAATAATGGACAATTCCGCAAAAAGAAGGAAAGTGGACTGAGGTAGAAAAATAAGATAGGTAACTCGAGTAATACGTATTTTTCTATTTGTCATATACCCTTCTCCGGATGATCCGTTCTTGTTTTTTTGTAGATCCTTTGAGCTCGGAATACCACGGCAAGTGGCCATAACCGGCCGCGTGTTTGTATTTAGATGTCACCTTGAATAATCTAGGTCTCCTAGCCATTATATCGCAATGTGTAGGATGGCTCTAGTTAGTGACTTCGTATATTGTTTTGTTCCCTTTCCATCTTCGTGTCCTCCGGTTATACCCGTATCCGGAAGTATGGGCACGTGTGTTTCTACTGTTGTAGTTGCATATGTGTCTGATAAGTCAACAAGCAAAAATACGTATTGCTCGGGTTACTTATCCTTCGGAGCTGATCACATACTCCCCGCTACTTGTTAAGTCGTGTATAAGGAAGTGGGAGACTAATGGGATGCAGCTTCAGGACGTATCATTAACCAGGGTATGTTCAAGGCTTTCAAATTCAAAGTAGTAAATATAGGGGAACCAGAACTGCCATATCAAATATGCTGGAAACTGTAGACGAGACGTCTAAAAATCCGTAGATTTTAAAAATAAACGGTAGAAGTGGAATCCAGTGTAGTCGATCTGTTTACGATAGATTTGTGCGAAATTTTTGCGGTAGATTTCATTGGGTATTAAATCAAATGATTGAAAATTGAAGAGGGGGGGCGCCTTGAATGAGCTCCACTCAGTTTTAAAAATTGCTGCTACGTAAAAAATGCTGAAATGCTATTTAAAATTTTCAAGAGTGTAGTGCTGCTCTATTCTTGAATGTTGTTGAATTATACCAGAAATACACTCATTAAAAGTTTCAAAAACATTTCGGTAGATTTCGCATCAAAACAGATAGTGCGGTAGAATAGAACTAAAATCGGTAGACCTGGAAACACTGATGGCTGTAGAAAGCGTAGTGAAGAGTTGGTTGTGCTAAAGAAATGTGTATAAATACAGTATGTTTTCAAAACATGGGACAAAATTCAAGGGATGATCCACTGATAATTTTTTAAATACCGTTTCGTTTCGGAAATGCAGGCCCGAGAAGGACGTTACTGGAACTCTGTTTTTCTTGAAAAGTTTGATCACTATATAATCCCACGAAATTTTGAGAGAATACTATCCAGCTGAGGATTAACATGATAGTGTCCATGGAAATAGAAAACAATTGGGGAATGAGCTGGAAAGCTTGAAATAGAAGGCGCTAGTTAGGTTAGGAGTCATGTCTAAGGTTATAAACAAAGTTGTCAATTGCCGATCAGCTGTTCACGTCAATAGGCGACAAAACATGATGCAGTTGTTAAAAATAGATACCCTTCTAACAAATCTGTCTTTTTCCATTCCTTGTTTGTCAGGTTTGTCCCCCGAAAACGCAAGCGCCCCCAAGCGGGAACAAAATTATACATCGCTGCCTATCTTATTTAAATCACCAGGGACGGACTAAACACAATAATGCTAATTTCTTTTGTTTTAGAAGAATGGCTCAAAATGATAATGGAAAGCCTAATCATGCAGCTGAAAAAGAAAATGTATTTTTGTTTCATTCAGATAGAATAAGCTGGTTTAGGGAAAAACAGTTTTATCGATTATGAATCCAATATACTTATTTCACCAAGCTTTACACTTTAGTCTAACTTTTTGCTATGTAAATAGATAGGAGTAGTATTGAAACTAGGCTTTTTGCCTCAAAAACGTTTCATTTCATCCAAAGTAGACAAAAACACATTTTTTGAGATGAAGGATCAGGGTTTCCAAAAGTATTTCTTTTGAGCAATTATTATGATATATAAAAATTAGAGACCGAATAATACAGGATTTTTAATTAAATGATAACGATTGTGGAGGCTTTTCCCAGTTCTACCAAAATTGGGCAGTTCGAACATCGGAATTACAGAATATCTTTAAGTTCCTCGTAGCAGTCGCGGCGCCTCGACATCAAGGTTTCTGCCTACGCAGCGGCATCAGTATAAAAAATACCTTCCCTACATTGGCAATCGCGCTACTTCTTAATACAGTCGAAAAATGCGACTTATTATAATTACCAATGAGTAATCCAAAATGGTGCGTTCTGCTGATAAACAAAAATTACGTGCACAAATACGACCCAATTTCATGTTTATGATTTGAGTGGTTCGACAAGCCGAGAAAAATCATCTCTGCTAAAGCATATAAAGATAGTTGTGAGGAAAATATATTACTCCGTACCTATAGTCTTCACTGTCTATTAGGCAACGTTGTGGCGATTGACCTTTTATCAGGACATCATAATGTACACCGTATTACAAATTCAGCCAATTCCTATGTAAATGCTTTTACCATATGTTTTGTGCGGTCATCTTTAAGAATATCTAGTGAACGTCAAAGCCTCCATGTCTTCATTTTTTCTTTAGCTTTAAGAGCACAAAGCACTTCTTTTGAAAATTGCTACTTGAAACATGAAACTAGTGTCGGAGCATTTGTGTTTTGAAATTGGTTTCTCCAGTGTGAGTGGCATCTTTCTTGACAAGTCTTGTAGGCATTAAGTCTAATGCTGTTTTAAAATGTTGAAAATCCCGTAAAATAGAGCCATGTGGAAATGTTACGACAAAGTTTCCGATGAAAAGAATGAGAAAGTTGACAGTGCAATTTGTATTAGATGCGTAAAACACAGAAATTAGTTACAAATACTGAAAATATTATTATTATATACATATTGCTTTTTTTTCAATTCAACAATATTGAACTTCATTAACTTTATGATTTGTATCTGCCGACCTATATCATATCGGCATATGGGCAGTCATATCTACCGATTCATACATTCTCAAATCATATCGATACTGACTAATATTGCGGGAGGGGGGGTCAGTCCGTCCCTGTCGATCCGGAAGAGCTGATAGTTCATTTTATGCATAACTACTACCATAGTCAACATTTCGTTGTTATAGAGTGTTTTTGAGAAAAATCAATTTCCAATGGCGTTTGTACGGATATAAATTAACCCCCTTCAACTTTTCTATACACCTTGGGAAAAAACATTATTATACATTATGATGAGGAAGAGAGATGGAAATATACAAAAGTATGTAGGTGCGTGAAAAACACTCGATTGTAGGATCCTATGTGGCAGCGTGTCGGAGTGTGACGGACAACGGGGTAAAGTAGAAGGGTGATAAAAGAGAGAGATGGCAGAACGGGCGCTGGCGCCTACCGCTTAGACGGATGCGCTCAACAAATGCGATTTGTTTCTCCCATTCGCAGAGTTGCCGATACCAATATGTCATATTTCTAAGAAATCTAAGTCTACCCAAATTTCGGGAAAAATAGCTGCGGATTCCACATAAGAGTATTCCAAAAATGAAAAAAGTTCAAACTATTAAAATTGTATTAATGTTTCATGGTTCAAATCATATTTTTCATGTTTGTATATTGTTGTATAAATGATTTTGTAATCCCTATTCTTGTTGCCAGTAGAGATACAACAGTATTGAGAAAAATCATAGACCGCTAGATAGGGCTACAACTACCATATGACTATCAAATAGTAGTGATAAACAGGGTTTGTTTATAGCACAGTTGCCTGGTGTTGCGAATTTGCGCCATAGGGGCGATTTGACAACTTTGAAGGACAACTATAACGGTTACTATGGTGCCCGGTATTCGGGAATCTGGCAATACCTGATGATTCCTAACGTTTATTACGCCAGATTGATTGCTGACTTGCGCAGTACAACATGACAATCAACGTGACTGAGCACCTGGTAACCCTGGTTTAAGGTGTTATATTTAAAGAGCTTGGGGCAGTTAGGTATCTAGGTCACATTTTTTAATGTATTTCGAGAAATCCGTAATGTTGAGTAAATACTAGATCACGTTTCTTGCTTAGTTTGCTGAACATTCTACAATAGACGTACATTTTGAGAAACAGAGATTTGGTGACGACAAAATCGTAAAAATATAACGCATTTTCGTAAAATAATTTCTTTGTTGAAAAGACTGCGGCTTGATGACCCATTGAACGAGTTTAGTGTCCCGCTCCGCTTTGAATATTCGAAACACTATACTCCAGCAGCATTCAGCTTCAATGTTATCTTTATGAACTTCTAACGTCTAGGCCATGCTGATTAAAAGCTTGAATGAATCAACACTTAACTCTAAATTCCCCACAATTCGGGAAGCTCTACTCAAATTGGCAACACAGCGTATCTGCCTATTATTCTCATTCGTGATACAGGTCTGCGGTTAACGGTAGGAAATATGTACGAATAGCGATGAAAGTAGACGAGCCGATGCGCTGTTGCCAAGAAATGATTTCCCATGTATAACAATGGTTTTTCCTAAGGTGTATGACCTTCCACAAGAAAAAGTTTAGCAAAAAATATTTGTGTGTGTTTTACTCATGTGCATCCAAGTTTGAACTAGTTTGCATCTAGCTGCCTATGCAGTCTGGTATACGGCTGTTAGATAGCCATTTAAAACGTGGGGCATAAGATTTATATGACAATCACCTTTCATAAAGGCTCCAGGTTTGAATAGTGCTTTTCTTAGGGCCTGGTACAAGTGGAAATTTAGTCTTTTATACTCTGCCAAATCATCTCTGATACGAGGTAGTAGTACAAGATTGTAAAATCGTTGAGCCATCTTTTCTTTTAGATTTGATGCAAAAATTCTTGTGGCTTGGTACATCGCAGCAGCTGACCAGCTTGGTGGATCTGGAAAAAAATATATACAGTCTAACAAAACTGAAATGATCGAGTTGTTTTTCCTAATTCCTGTGGTAATAGCACGGACATAATAGTTGAATATGTCTAAGTGGTGACAGTAATACACAGAACTGAATCTTTCCTCATCCTCATATCTTCGCTCATGTAAGAAATGTATTTGAAATTAGTACATTTAAAGACAGCTCATTTTTACCTTCTGTACTACTCGCCGAAAGAATCAGTCAATAGATTAAGATTTTTATCCCAGATACCATATGTTTCACGTTAAACTATCAAAATCAGAGAAAAAACCTTATTTTTCTTTCCACCTGGCACAAGTCGTGTGGTCCAAAATTAAATTTCCACAGCTTGGGCTCAAACATTTTTCTGAAGAGTATCTATGATGGTATGGAGCTTTATAAAATTTTAGTATTTTAGGTCGAACAGTTCGGTCTGTAGACGCGTTCAGATTTTGGAGGTTCAGAAAAAGTAGCGTCAAGTAGCTTAAAACTGCACTTAATTTCAGATTAAATCCTCTGAGAAAAAAGTCAGTTACGAACATGTACAACAGAGAAATTAAGCGGAAACACGTTCATACAATTGGTCCATAGACATTCTTTTCCTGCCCTACCACTAGTTACTGTCTAACTGGCTACGTTATCCCTTTCAACATCTGCGCGGCATCGCTGCAGCGAGTTATCGTTCATTTCGTGCATGGTCCATGTATACATTTTATTACCCTGCAGTACGGATATATCAGTCAGCCATACCAGTTCGCTGGAAGGTGAGCTTTAGATAGCAGTAGTACGCGAATCGAAATCATTTCTCTATCATTCTAAATTTTAAAGGAAAGTGTACAGGAAAATCTAGCTGCTAGGTTCATAGAATTACCAGGGTTGGGAGCGTATAAATATACTAAGATAAAAAATTCATATACCCTCCCCCATCCCCTATAACCTCGAATTTCAACCCTTGAAATTTTTTTCTGAAAATGATCAGGACCCTCTGTATCGTCAAAAAAGTTTAAGCGATTTTCCTTTTTTTGTTTTATTCCGCCACCACAAGACCCATTTTCGAGAACTACAATGCTTTTTCACCGCTCTCAACTTATAGACGGGTCAAGAATTAGCGGACAGACCGATTGAAATGCGTGACATGGTTTTTCGTGATGTACAACATCCAATAGTCTGACGATATGGGAAGGGGCAACATTGTCAGATGGACGGTGACTAGGGCAGGAACAGAATGTCTATGCACTAATTATACAGGGTGCGGCAGAGAGAACGGACGTTTTTGGGATGGGTATTACTCTCCGCCTCCGTCTACGAGAGAGGTGGGGAGGGTGCCGTTTGACTGGTGAGATCCTAGCATTATTTTACCAGTTGTCGTTATGGAGCCTTGGACTGTGGAGCACCGCGTTTTCGCCTATGATTGTTTCGTCCGAAATAATGAGTCAGTCATCGTCGTACAGCGTGAGTTTCGTCGCCACTTCAACATTCATCGGAATAGAGCTGTTCCCTCTCGAAACACCATCCTTCGTTCGGTTCAATCACTTCGCAGGCGTGGTGAACCGATCAACAGAAGACCAAGAGGAGCGCCGCGAACAGTTAGAACTCCTGAAAATGTTGAACACGTTCGACAGGTCTTTCTTCGCAGTCCGACTCGATCTGCCCGGAAACATGCTGCTGCACTTCGCCTTTAGTGATCGTTCGGCAAGGCGAATTTTGCATATGGATCTCCGCTTTCACATGGCCATTGTGCAATGGTTACAGCCCGGAGATTATGCACAACGAATGAACTTCGCACGTGAGATGGAATCACTGATCGATCAAAATGAGGGCCTCATTTTGTTTATGAGTGACGAAGCTCACTTTCACCTAAACAGCATGGTTAACCAGCAGAATTGTCGTTATTGGGCTAATGAAAATCCGCAACAGTTACACGAAAGACCGCTGCACAGCCCAAAAGTAACGGTTTGGTGCGCTGTATCGCAAACTTGCATCATTGGCCCTTACTTCTTCGAAGACGGTAATGGTCGTGATGTTACCGTGAACTCGAGTAAAAATTAACTATTTTATGATTTTTTTAAAACCGTCCATCCTCTCTGCCGCACCCTGTATAAGCCTGTTTGACAGACTTGATCGGTTTAATTTGTCTATTGTACATGTTCCTAACCAATAACTTCTACTAATTTAGTACTTTATGAACTGATGACACCATTGTGTAGGAAGTGTAGAATCAAGCACACTAGCTAGAAAGCGATAAGCAGACCCATAACATATGTCTATTTCAAAGTAAAATTGTTCAGGTAGCTCAAAAATGATCAAATTGCGATTTGGTAATTTGTTTGGCAAACAGTCAAAAATGATAATTCAAAATAGCTTAGTATTTCATTCTGCCTATAATTCTAATCAAGAAAGATTGAACTGATGGCTCTCTAAAAAAAAAATTGGTCATAGATTAATAATAATAGTAAGACTTTATTTTACCTGTGATATAAAGTATTTGTTCCCAATTCCTCAACTTAGGAACAATTTTGAATGCCTTAGGTAGCTTTCCACTCCTATATTTTCTTAAAACATCTCGAACACTCTCATACATCTGCTTCACTCTAGGGTCAATATCTTGTATTTGTAGAGATCCCACATCACTGAACTGTGTTCCCAGCTCAGTCTGCTTTTCTGTAATTTTTTCCATTATGATATCTGCCAGTGTCCTAGTTGGAGCTGCGTTTCTGTTCATGAACATTTCCATTGCCTAACAATTTATGTTAGTCATAACTAATTTGTTTCATTATCTATCATTTCAATACATACCTTTTCATCCTCTTCATTAATCTGAATATTTTCATAAAATGTATCTGGTTCCAAAGTATCCTCCTCATCTTCTGAATCTGAGTGGCCCTCAATAGTCAGTTCTGGAACTACTGGTTTTGCACCTGAAGCAGTTTCTTGGCCTGATTCTAGTTCTCTCTGCTGTTGCCTTGCAGCTGATAAAATTTTACGAGATAATGACGAATCTACAAACTAAAGACAAAATGTGATTACAGAAAGTTATTTCTTCATATTTTATACATAGATTTATTTTCTAACTGATAATATTAACTACTAATCTGGCCTAAAGACAATCTATCAATCAAATCTATATCACCTCACAATTCAATTGACTTTATTGTAACAAATATAGGTACATTATAAACAATTCTTATAGATTTTTTTGGAAAAGCAGCTAATACAGTTTTTGTCAAATGAATAGTTAATTTCACTGCATTGTATGTGAACTGTTGTTGTTTTATTGTCATGTATATGGCAATTGCTGCACATTCAATACTTATGATCCATCAGTAACTTTTAGCATAGAGTGATAATGGTTATAATTATTTATTCATATGTAATGCTGTCAAAATCTACTGAAACTGACAAATCCACTAATACATACTGATGCTATATATTATTAGTAAATGTTGGATATATGGATGAATAAGATAAAACCTGGTAATTGAAATCCACTAATATGCAACAGTTTATTGCTTACAGTTTGTCTTTCACTCCGATTTTCCAAAAGACTTTATTGCAAAAAACTATTAAATAAGCAGCATTAGACAATTTAAATTCTGGGCAAATAAAAGTTTGATTGATTTGCAACCATACTTATTACAAGATTTTGTAGACTAATATTGACAACATACTATCATGAACTTATGTTCCCTCTGTTTTTTTTTTATCTAATTACAGTATGTTTTGTTTGTCCTATAAATGGATGTAATATATGTAACATAATCTGAAGTAAAGGTGATTATTATTATTATCATTATTAATAAGAATCATCTTCAAAAACAAACATACTTTGTGGAAGCTTACAATTAGTAATCTTATAGTCCTTGGAAAGCAAAACATAAGAATTTAGCATATCTGTTTTATAGTGTGTATTAGTTGATAATACAGTTCTTTACAAATATTTAGCTGATGTAAGTGGTTTCCATAGAACGTTCACATCTCCAGTATGATCAGGAATTTTTTTCCAAAAAAAATTTTCATCTAACATACTATATAGGTTGTTTCTTATTTGAAAGCATCCTTCTGTTTTGATTTCCAAACACTATGGTACTAAGAGGGATGTCTTTTATGTTTTGTATATACTACATTTTATCACTGTATTTGTGTGTATTTACTGTTGATCTGTCAGTATATGTATGCCAGAAATAATCAGTGTATAATGTTACATAGAAAGCCACTAATGCTGATAAAATGATCAGTAAATACTGATGTATGCACAACAGTAAATACTGATCATGTAGAATTTCCTTACACATATCTGTATTAGAAGCGAGAACGAATGTTGCACATGCAGTAGTCACTGTGATATATGAATAAAATAAAAATGAAGCTCTGATCAGCAACTATAAACTGTGATTGAACTGTATCCCAAAATGAACTATGAACACAGAATGTTTAGCTGTTTGTCGCATCTATTAAAAACAGTTGTCAGTATATGTTAATGTAACACCAAATAGAGAAAAATGCTTTTTGAATGGAAAATAATCACTAAATTATACCTGTTGGTCGTCATCTTGTCTAAGACGTATTTTACTTCTATTTTTACTTCTGGCAAATTTTGCGTCATGGATATCAGCTTCTAAGGGTGCTCTGGTCGTTCCAGTTTCCGAAGGTTTCATTTTCTTTGCTTTGCCCATTACACCTCAGCGTGAACTTTTCTATCCTCTTCCCTGTTTTCAATAGCACAATACATAACCTCAAATTAAACACATGTCAATTTGTCAAGGAGCATGTCACGGATTGCTTCAGACAGTGTTGCCGGACTGAAATAAGACGAAATCGGTAGATGGTGCCATTAAAGATCGGTAGATTATACAAAATCGGTAGAAGAGAAAAATCAGGACCGTCGCAACATCAGCGGTTGTTCAAGGGCCTTTGACTCATACAGCGCCATTTTTTAAAAAAGTATATCTTTGAGGGTATCTTTTCCTGAAAAAATATTGACTTCTTTATCACAACTTATACAATGAACATACTGGTCGCTCTTCAAACTCCTTTGGAACTATCCAGTCATGGTTGTAATAAGATTGTAGATGTTTTTGTTTTACTTCTGGACTTGAGCGTCGTTCCCTTGCATTTGTATTTGAAATTTCATTTAAAACTGACCATCTTTGGTTTCCTTATTGCTTATCCGGTGATACGGTTATGATCATATGATGGCGATTTACTGTACCTGTTGTATACACAAAAGCCAATTCAGGAAAAGCGGAATAAGGGATTTGCATGCCTTCATAATTATACACAACCCAAGTCTACGTCCCTCGGGTGCCGACTGTCTAAGTGTACGCATAAATATGATTGGAATAAAACTACATATAATTCATTTTTTCAGCTTCATTTTTGGTTCTAGCTCTTATTTGGTAAAAAATGTGGAAATATCTGAATTATTTGTAAATCGTGGAAAATGAGGTCGTATTCGGTTAAGGTCCCATTTCGGTGGAAATACCGAAAGGTCGGTTGGTTCGGCAACACTCAGTTTCAGATTTGATAATCATCAAAATACAGTCGACCAGTTCAGTAGTGAGCGCAAATCGCCTATGTGCTATAAAACTGGTATTTTTCAGCCCCTGGGGGCTATTTTATGTAACCTATTATCAAAAATGGATTTAAAAGCAAATTACTTTAGAATCTAGCCCGAAATTCGATATTACCGGTGCTGTAGTGAACGGGAAAACGAGAACAGGTCCTTGAGTGCTTCTTTAAGGCGGCTCCGACGCAGTGAGTTTCAAGTCATTTACAAGGGTTCAGCTGCTTCGAAACAGACACTCCATTTTTCAATATTTTTGAATGAAATTCATATAGTATGTTCAGAAGGGGAAGGTGATTCTAGATGTTGCATCTTTGATATCAGTGAAACACGTTCTATTATTAAGAAGCTTCTGATCCCAGTGATTACATAAAATTTAAGGGACGAAAGTGTGTGTGCTCACGATTTGAAAACATTGGTACCTACGTTATAGGTTTGACACCGAGAATTGGGATTATTATAGCGTTGGGAATAGGTATCATTTCGGCGAAGTATATAGGGAATTTAGCGATGAACTTTAAAATCATCGATATGTCTAGGAAATATGTTTTTGAGAATGATAATTTGCCGGAATTTATACCTACATTTTCATCTGAATTTTATGACCCATGAATTTACCCATTTCGCCAAACCTTCAATTTGTATAAGAACATTACTCTTATTGACGTGATAATGAGAAGGGAATATAGATTTACTCGGTAAGGCGGGTAAGATGTAGCGAGTTGTAAGCCATTCAAAAGGGTTCGAAAATACGAACTGCACTTGTAGTATTAACTTTGATCCTCACTACATACTATGAGAATTAGGACACAAACAAATCTTCGACTGAGTGACCTTCTACCTAGTCTGAATTCGTTGAGGAACAGCTGCTTCTCAACTGACGTTCCAGTTTTCAATATTTCCGAATGAAGTTTTTGCCTTGTGTTCAGATGATAAGTTCCTAGGGTGCTCCTTTCAAAATTTTGTTTTTGCACAAAATTTATGGTGGGTTGAAATGATTACTATTAGTGTTCAACTTTTTAATTTTTTTTTAAAGATCCTAGTGGATACAATAGAAAAAGTGGATCGTTAGCGTCCTGAAGAGCTTGTTTCTAACATGCTGTGAAAGTTTCATTTGGAAATATGAAAAAATGAAGCGACAGTTGTGAAGTGCGGAATCCTCTGCAAATCGGTTTTTGGACGAATTTCGTCTACTGGTCCCGTAAACATGCCCAGACCTTCGCTGGCCCACAAATATCCCAGCTTTTAGATTGAGTCCCCAAGTTAATCAAAATGTTGATGCCCCTAATCGAAATACCCAAAATTTCAAACCTACACCTGTTAACGCCGGCTCCACACGTTGGCTCCTAACGTCACTCGCCCAACGTGTGTATCTAGAAAATAGCGTTGGCCCCAACGTTGGAGCGACCGTTGGTAGTTGGCTTTCGTTTGTCGGTTTTAGGTATTCAAAGGAATTTGCGCCAACGTTGGCGATCCGTCCACATATTGGCTCACTGGCTCAGTCTTGTTGTAACACGCGTCGAGTGCGTATGTGGAGATATGTCATCAACAAAATCGCTACCCGCGTGGACAAACTAAAAAGTTGTAGAATTTAGAGGTATACCAGGCCCATCCAATAATATGGAACACCTCTCGCAAGGACCATAAAAATAAAAATTTAGTAGCCGATACATTTTGCAATATTCAACAGAATATGAAAATGATTTATTCTATTGAGGAATTAAAAAAGAAAGAGAAACGCTCATTGATGAGCACATATCGCCTATATCGAAAGAAAATTTTGGACTCTAGTCGTTCTGGGTCATCGGTGGATGATATTTTTAAACCGAATTGGTTCGCCTATGATCTAATGGACAGCTTTCTTGCTCCGATTTATGATAAAACAGATACATAGACGATTAATACAGAGGTAAGTTAAACATCAATTAATTATTACTTTTATTTATTTACACATTCATAAACAAAGTCATTAAATTATGACAAATTGCTTTGGTACATAGTTTATTCAATGTGAGTAAAGGTATGATGCGAATTCATTTCTTATTTCTCTTGCATTTTCGGTTGCTCTTATTGGTATTTGATCTAAGGACCTTAATTGTTGCTCTTGTAAATTATTATATATGTTACCCTCTGGCATATACATCCGTCGAGAGTGCTCGATGTTTTTTAAAAAATTATGAAGTACAACGCAAGTCAATAGATGCTTTTTCGGGTTGTAGCAGCATATTGTTTTTCAACATTCGAAACACCGATGTCATTATTCCAAATGCACATTCAATCACAAGACGAGCGCGCGAAAGTCGGCTATTGAATTTTCTATTTGCTGAGCCAGCTGCCGGTGTGCCAGAAAACGGTTTCATAATTCTTCTAGATAATCCAAAAGATCAATCTGTCACAAAAACATAGGGCACAGGAAGATGTCGGTCAGGTATAGAGGAGTGTCTTCCGGAAAATTGGAATTGGAACCATATATTTTGTTATAAAGTATGCTATCATTAAAAACTCCATGTGTGCCTACGTCGGCAAATAAAAAGTTGTATTCACTATCAGCTACTGCTAATATTATACTGAAATTGTGTTTATAGTTATAGAACTCTGATCCACTATTAATAGGTGACTCTATTTTTATGTGTTTGCCATCTATAGCACCCAAACAATGTGGAAATTGCCATTTTGTTTCAAAGCCTCTAGCAACTTCAAGCCATCCCTGATCATTTTGAGGCATCTGAAACAGAAAAAAACATATGAAAATTAACCTGTGGTGTTTTGATTTTAGAGTATGAAGTTTCCTGACGAGGACAGCATTCGAAATAATTTGTCAGCTGGCGATACTTCCACACCATCAGTTAAAAAACGCAGAGTATCTGAAATTTATGAAGTACGAGCTCAAATGAAGACACCTGTAAATGTCCTTAAAAATATCTCAGATCGACCGCGCGTTGAAGTGGATGAGGTAGATTTATATTGTCAACTACTGGCCAAAAAGACTAAAAAAATTTAATGAGCCACAAAGGGAGATAATAATGCATGATATAGACGAACTAATTTTTCGGAAGCGAAAGGACTCTTACTTAAATATCAGTAGCCCTTCTAGCTGCAGCACATACTCGTACGCAAGATGTACCCCGGATTCCTTGGCACCTACACCATCCCCTTCATCTCACGTTTTACAAAGCACTGTATACCAGATTGCTAATGATTCTGGTGATTATACAATTGTACAACCACATTATAGCCAAGCAGAATATGTGACAGATCCTTCTACCTCCTCCACTTCTACTCAAAAGGTGGCAATTATATCAAATGACATTGTCTCACAGGCACTTACTCTCTCTCACACACAAAACAAGAATTAAGTGCTAATGTAAGATCTCATTTTACTTTATAATTTTTATTCAGTAAATGTGTTTTTGCTTTTTAATTATGGTTTTATTTTTAACATAATATATAAAAAATACTGACCTTTACAAAAGAACGCAATGCCTCACATAGCGCTTTACAGACTTCGCGCACGATCAGTGATATAACTTGTGGGGAAATCTTGAATAAGTAATGAAGACTTTTGAATGAATCTCCAGTTGCTAAAAATCTAAGTGTCACGTACTTTAGCTGGTATCGATTCTCTGAATACCGTATCTTGTTTTTTTATTCTTGGTCCAATCAAGGGTATTCGAAGTCTATTGAAGACATACGACAAAAGTTATCAAACTGTCCTGAGGGCTCTTGATTCAAATTATTTAGCAGTCGAGTTCCATCGTAACTGAAAAATAAAATGTAGAGATAAGATAAGATAAGATAAGGATGTCTATCATAGGGATTTTTGTTTTTTTTTATGTCGAAACAGCCGCGCAGGCAGAAGCCTAAATGCCGGAACACCGCGGCTGCTATGATGATCCCAAAGAAATTTTGTTAATACGATTTTTGAACTGCCTAAGGTTAGTAGAACTGGGAAAAGCTTCCTCTTGTAGATTGTTCCACAGTCTAGAGACCCTCAGAACGAAGGAGCGGTCGTATCGGCCAGTTCTGGATGTACGAAGTTTGACACGGTTAGGATGGGACGCCGAAGTCAGGCGGGTCTGGCTGGCAGGCACATCGCGCGGCGGCATCATGGAAGAGAGCTCTGAGGAGCAAAGCCCGTTGGTGTAGCGATAGAAAAGAGCTAGATCGCCGACGGCCCGCCGGTGCGAAAGAGTTCCGAGACTGTCTGTTAGATAAGAGTCATCGATCAGTCGGACCGCCCTCCTCTGGACAGCAACGAGCATGGACAATGTAGTCGGGGCGGCAGCTCCCCAAATGTGTGAGCAATACTCGAGGCTAGGCCTTATCTGGGCCTTGTATAGAGTGAGAAGGTCATGCTGAGAAAAGTACTTCTTAGCCCTAAACAAATAGCCTAGCTTTTTCCCAGCAGCTGCAGCTATTGAAGAGATGTGTTCGTGCCAGATCAGGTCCTCGGTGATCTGGACTCCGACCAGCCGAAATGAATGGCTCTTTGGTAGAACTCGGCCGTCCATCGAAACTGTATGAGCGCTAGGACGCTTTTCGTTCGTCAAACTACAGTACTGTGTTTTGGAATCATTGAACTGTTCAAGATTGTTGCGTCCCCAAGCAGTGATAGCCTCCAGGTCTCTTGTCAGAGAAGAAGTCGTCGCTAGTCTTCTTTTTTCCAGCTCAGCGGCAGAGATCGGCTTGTCACTCTGAACTCCTGCATGTAGAGTGCTGTCATCAGCGAAGCTGTGGATTGGGTTGATCGTGCAGGAAAGGAGGTCGTTGATATGTAAGAGAAACAGTGTTGGAGCCAAGACCGATCCCTGAGGAACACCCGCGTTGACGTTGTGGGATGAAGAGGAGAATCCGTCAATTACGACGGATATCTTGCGGCCAGAGATAAAATCAGCCACCCATCTGCAAAGCTTTTCTGGGAGGCCATAGGATGGAAGTTTGCTTAAGAGGGCAGCGTGCCACAGCTGATCGAACGCTTTCGTGATGTCAAGAGCAACGACATGAGCCTCACCATGAGACTGGATGAGTTTACTCCACAGTTGCGTGACGTAAGCTAGGAGGTCCCCTGTGGATCGTTGGTTCCGGAAACCGTACTGCCTGTCGCTAATCAAGCTGTGTCGTTCGAGGTAGTCCAGAAGCTCGCGATTTATGCACCTCTCCATCACTTTACTTATAACAGATAGCAGAGCTATAGGCCTGTAGTTGTAAGGGTCGGTCTTAGATCCTTTTTTTGGGATGGGCTGTACATGAGCAAATTTCCAGTTTTCTGGGAAGGTGCCGGATTCATAAGATATCTGGAAGAGACGCGAAAGAACTGGAGCAAGCTCCGCTGCACATCTCTTCAGTACAATGGCAGGAATCAAGTCCGGAGCAGAAGCTTTGTTGATGTCGAGCGACAAGAGCACTCGTCTTACGGTCTTATGCCTGAATGTCACCTCCCGCATAGTGTGGGGAACCCTTTGAATTGACGGCACTTGGGCGTTGGTGGGGACGTCCATGGTGGAGTTGGCAGTAAAGGTCTTGGCTAGCACTTCCGCCTCGGCCTTTGAGTCGAATACAATAGTTCCATCCTGACACGTAAGTGGTGGAAGGCTACTGTGTGAGAAGTTCTTTTCAATCTGCTTGGCCAGCGTCCAGAAAGACCGACTGCCATTGCGCTGCGACATTACCCTGTGCCTAACTTTTATATCATGCTGGTTTTTGGCATTGCGAACCGCTTCGTTATATTTGTTTCTGGACTCGACGTCGGCTTGTCTGTTCTCTACAGTGGGGTTTTGTAAGTAGGTTCTATGTGCCTTAATCTTCTGCTGGCGAGCAGTGTCACACGATTTGTTGAACCAGCCGTTGGACCCTGGTTTAGGAACTTTCACGTTGTGAGGGATGTATTCCTCCATTCCGACGTGGATAATTTCGGTTATCGAAGAACAGACAGTCGACGCATCCGCGTCAGTGAAACAGACATCTCTCCAAGGAAAGCTAGAGAAGAAGTCTCTGAGCCCCTCCCAGTCGGCATGTCCGTAATGCCAAGTTTTGCGGCCTGTACGAGTTTCTGCTGCCACAGCGGCTTCTGACCGAAACCTAACCTCCACAACACCGTGATCTGAGTTACCCAGGGGGGACAGGACAGCAGTGCTGTAAGGGACAGGATGCTTGGTGAGAGAGATCCAGCAGGCTACTGGCGTGTGACGAGACGCGGGGGAAAAAAGTAGGGCTCGTGACCAGCTGGGTCAGCCCTTGAGTAAGAGCGAACGCTTCGACTGCACGACCTGCTGCATCGGTCTTATTTGAGCCCAACCAAAGCTCATTATGGGCATTGAAATCACCGAGAAGAACTACCTCTGAAGCGGGGTGATTGATGTTCAGGAAGTCGATCTGGACGGCGAGGTATTCGAGTATATCATCACAGTTATGGTTCGAGGGAGAGCGATAAAGGCAGCAAATAAATTTGGGTGTGATGTTTTGGAGTTGAGGCGAAGCCACAGAATGTCCTTCCGGTCTGATTCCAAAGAAAGGTCCCTGGAGCAGGAAATACTGTTGCGGACAAAAACCACAGCTCCCCCGTTCTTTCTCAGATTGGAGTGCACCTCGTAGTTTGGGAAGTTGAGATGGTTAATCGGTGCAGTCTCTGAGATTTTTGTCTCCGCCAAGAAAAGCACGGCGGGACGATTGGATTGCAGGTAGTGATGAACAGCATCAATGTTGCTGTTGATCCCGCAGGTGTTCGAAAAACAAATTTTATCTTCGATGTTGTTCCCTCGAGCCCACCCTCCACCCGGACATTCCGAAAACAAAAGTGATACGAAGATGGTTAAATTAGAAAAAAGCTGCGCATTTTCAAGCCTAACAATATGCCATTCAGAAAGCTTTAAAATTCCGAGTTGTTCCGGAGGTATGCCTAAAAAATGCTATTTACTTTACGCGCCATATAAAAAAATAAAGTTGATGATGGTTTCTCCGAAACGAAACGTCGTGCGGAAAATCTCTCAACGCTGTTTTGTACAGCTTAAAAAGTAGCCACAAGAAAGTGTCTTTTGTTTTTCCATATCTCTTTGAATAATGTCAGCAAAAAATAAAAACGAAATCGGCAAATTTCGGTTTTTTAGGCGTACTTCCGGAACAACTCGGAATTTTAAAACTTTCTAAACGGCATATTTTCTAATTTAACCATCTTCGTATCACTTTTGCTTTCCAGGATCCTCATGATAGACATCCTTATCTTGGACACACTGTATACACAGTATTAGATAATTTAATATTAACTTGTCTCGTAAAAAGCTGCTAGAATGCAGTGTATGGTCTGCACTTACTGGTACCGTGCTTTAGCATGCGTTGTCATCCACCATGACGTGGCTTTTTCTTTTTTTTCAATAACAAATATAAATTATACGCACTCATCAGTACTGTAAAAGCGCTTAACGCCGGCTCCACACGTTGGCCCCAACGCCACTCGCCCAACGTGTGTATCTAGAAAATAGCGTTGGCCCCAACGTTGGAGCGACCGTTGGTAGTTGGCTTTCGTTTGTCGGTTTTATTCAAAGGAATCTGCGCCAACGTTGGCGATCCGTCCACATATTGGCTCACTGGCTCAGTCTTGTTGTAACACGCGTCGAGTGCGTATGTGGAGATATGTCATTAACAACATCGCTACCCGTGTGGACAAACGAAAAAGTTGTAGAATTTTTAAAGTTATACCAGGCGCATCCAAGCGCTTAGAGCAATTTCGGTTTCGGTGTCGGACATCTTCAAATTGGCTGTGACAGAAAGGAACTAATATAATAACCAACGTGTGGACGCTTCACCAACTTAACCGACCAACGTTGGTACCAACGTTAGGGCCAACGTGTGGAGCCGGCGTTTAGAGCAATTTCGGTTTCGGTGTCGGACATCTTCACATTGGCTCTGACAGAAGGGAACTAGTATAATAGCCAACGTGTGGACACTTCACCAACTTAACCGACCAACGTTGGTGCCAACGTTGGGGCCAACATATGCTTTATTTTACGAATATAGAGTTTCTATTAATTAATTGGCCCAACAAGTACGACTGTCTCTTAGGCTATGAAGACCTAAAACATCTAAAGGGAATCATAGACACAAGTAAAAACATTTTTAAAATTGCTAATTTAAATTGTATTTGCCATACCGGTAAAAATCCAGAAGGAAGACCTAACGAAGTCGAAAAACGATTACCGCTTTAAGTCGAAAACGGTTACGTAATTGTACTTCCATTAGGATAATATAAGATATAAGGATTCCGATAGTTTTACGCCCGAAACGATTTGCTCAGTTAACAACGAGATAGATTTTTCTGAAGATACCATGGCACCTGACCTCAATAGTACCGAGATAAATTGCGAGCCACGTGTTTACTACGATATACAAATTCCAACATCTGAACATAGTACAGTCAACATGTCCAAATTATTCCGAACCGAACATATGAATTCCAAAGAACGTGAAAAGATTTTAAAGCTTTGTCAAAATTACCCAAATGGTTTTTTGAAACCTAGTGAGAAACTAAAACCATGTAACGCC